TTCTTGTGTATTTTACATCATCTCTAAATGACTTGAAGTGCCTAGGACAACCTAAACGCTATGTAAATAAGCTGCTGTACTGCGGCGGCCTGTGGTTAACCCTCCACCTGTGGCGCCAGCATTCCTTAAGGGTGCTGGTTCGTGTCCGGCTGCTCCTCTTTGGATCCAACTCTCAGCTGTGGCCTGGAAAAGCAGTAGAAGATGGCCCCAGTGCTTAGGCCCCTGCACCTATGTGGGAGACCTGGAAGAAGCTCCTGGCTCCTGGCTTCAGATTAGCACAGCTCCAGCAGTTGTGGCCATTTGGGGAGTGAACCAGCGGATGGAAGATCTTTCTGTCTCTCACTCACTCACTCTGTCTGTAATTCTGCCTCTTAAATCAATCTTAAATAAAAAGTTGCACTATGTAAATAGTTGTTGCATTGTAGTGTTTAGGGAATAATGACAAGAACAAAGCCTGCACATGTTCAAGAGAGAAGCAATTCTATTTTCCGAATATTTTCTCTTTTTTAAAGATTTATTTATTTGAAAGGCAGGGTTATAGAGAGGCAGAGAGAGAGAGAGAGAGAGAGAGATCTTCCATCTGCTGGTTCACTCCCCAGATGGCTGCAATGGCTGGAGCTGGGTCGATCTGAAGGCAGGAGCCAGGAGCTCCCTCTGGGTCTCCCACGTGGGTGCAGGGGCCCAAGGACTTGGGCCATCTTCTACAGCTTTCCCAGGCCATAGCAGAGAGCTGGATGGGAAGTGGAGCAGCCAGGATTGAACTGACGTCCACATGGGATACTGGCACTGCAGGCGGCAGCTTTACCTGCCGCAACACAGCGCCAGCCCTCGGAATCCTTTCAACTTACTTTCTTTTTTCTTTTTAACTTTTATTTAATGAATATAATTTCCAAAGTACAGCTTATGGGTTACAATGGCTCCCCCCCATAACTTCTCTCCCACCCCCCGCTCTCTCTCCCCTTCCATTCACATCAAGATTCATTTTCTATTCTCTTTATATACAGAAGATCAGTTTAGTATATATTAAGTAAAGATTTCAACAGCTCACACCCACACAGAAACACAAAGTGTAAAGTACTGTTTGAGTACTAGTTATAGCATTAAATCACAATGTGCAGCACATTAAGGACAGAGATCCTACATGAGGAGTAAGTGCACAGTGACTCCTGTTGTTGACTTAACAAATTGACACTCTTGTTTATGGCATCAGTAATCACCCTAGGCTCTTGTCATGAGTTGCCAAGGCTATGGAAGCCTTTTGAGTTTGCTGACTCTGATCATATTTGGACAAGGTCGTAGTCAAAGTGGAAGCTCTCTCCTCCCTTCAGAGAAAGGTACCCCCTTCTTTGATGACCTATTCTTTCCACTGGGATCTCACTCACAGAAATCTTTCATTTAGGTGTTTTTTTTTTTTTTTTCCAGAGTGTCTTGGCTTTCCATGCCTGAAATACTCTCAGGGGCTGTTCAGCCGGATCCGAATACCTTAAGGGCTGACTCTGAGGCCAGAGTGCTGTTTAGGACATCTGCCATTCTATGAGTCCTGCTTCTCATGTTGGATTGTTCTGTCCTTTTTAATTCTATCAGTTAGTATTAGCAGACACTAGTCTTGTTTATGTGATCCCTTTGCCTCTTAGTCCTATCATTATGATCAATTGTGAACAGAAATTGATCACTTGGAATAGTGAGATGGCATTGGTACATGCCACCTTGATGGGATTGAATTGGAATCCCCTGGTATGTTTCTAACTCTACTGTTTGGGGCAAGTCCGATTGAGCATGTCCCAAATTGTACATCTCCTCCCTCTCTTATTCCCACTCTTATATTAAACAGGGATCACTTTTCAGTTAAGTTTCAACACTTAAGAATAACTGTGTATTAATTACAGAATTCAACCAATAGTATTAAGTAGAACAAAAAAAAATACTAAAAGGGATAAAGTATTAAGTTGTTCATCAACAGTCAGGGCAAGGGCAGATCAAGTCACCGTTTCTCACAGTGTCCATTCCACTTCAACAGGTTTCCTTTTTGGTGCTCAGTTAGTTGTCACTAATTAGGGAGAACATATGATATTTGTCCCTTTAGGACTGGCTTATTTTACTCAGCACGATGTTTTCCAGATTCCTCCATTTTGTTGCAAATGACCGTATTTCATTGTTTTTTACTGCTGTATAGTATTCTATAGAGTATATAAATGTCCCATAATTTCTTTATCCAGTCTACTGTTGATGGGCATTTAGGTTGATTCCAGGCCTTAGCTATTGTGAATTGAGCTGCAATAAACATTAAGGTGCAGACAGCTTTTTCGTTTGCCAAGTTAATTTCCTTTGAGTAAATCAACTTACTTTCATCGAGTCTTCTGACCCACAGCCTTACAGATGCAGAGGGGCTGCTGTGTGCACGTATTTGTATATAAAGTGTCTGTGTATAATGTGGTATGTGGTGAGTAGCAACAGACATTTATATTAATATATTGTGATACTTAGAAACTTATACATAAGTATAAGTTATACTTATAGTATATACTTATACATAAGTTTCTAAGTATCAAAATTGGCTCATCCCAGGGCCAGAAATGTGGCATAGCAAGTAAAGCCACTGCGTGTGACAATGACATATGGGCACCTGTTCGAGTCCTGGCTGCTCCACTTCCAATCCAGCTTTCTGCTATGGCCTGGGAAAGCAGTGGAGGATGGCCCAAGTGCTGGGCCCCTGCACCCAGTTGGGATACCAGGAAGAAGCTCCTGGCTCCTAGCTTCAGCCTGGTCCAGACCTGGCTCTGGAGATTAAACTAGTAGATGGAAGATCTCTCTCTTTATATACATGCATATATACATGTATATATATGTAACTTTTTACATACATATATATATATACACACACGTAACTTTGACTTTCAAAATAAATAATAAATAAATCTCTTTTTTTTGATCGACTCCTTCCCAATATTAAAGTTTTGCACTTGCTTCTCTCCCTCATGTCTGGACAGTCCCTGTCAGTGCACACAGGTCTAACCCATCCTTTATCACCACTCCATAGCAAACCACAGGGTTGGTGGACCCGGCTAACTAGGCAGTCCTCTGAAGATGGACGCTTAGATATGTTCGGATTTTTGCTACGGTAAAACCGCGCTGCCTGACATGGAAAATCCCTGCACAAATGTCTTTGTGACTTGTGTGAGTGGAGCTCCATGGGACAAACTCCTGGAAGGGAAGCTGTTGGCTCAGAAGGAGCATGTGTGTATGCTTTTGGTAAACATTGCCAACTCGCCTTCCAAAGAGTCTGCGCCAATTCACAGTCCCACCAGTGGCCTGGGAACTTTTTTTTTCAGATTCTGCTGCTGGTTCCCCCTTGCTTGGTTACCTGTCGCTCACCTACCCAGTGTTTCTGGCCACAGTACCTTTGCCCATGCTATCCCATAGCTTAAAATTCCCTCCCTTGCTTTCTGCCTCATGAAATCTTCCAGCTGTCACCTCCTCTTTTTTTAAGGTTTATTTATTTATTTATTTGAAAGTCAGAGTTACACACACACATACACACACACACACACACAGAGAGAGAGGTCTTCCATCCACTGGTTCACTCCCCAATTGGCCGCAAAAGCCTGAGCTGCATTGATCCGAAGCCAGGAGCTTCCTCCAGGTCTCCCATGTTAGTGCAAGAGTCTAAGCACTTGGGCCATCTTCTACTGCTTTCCCAGGCCACAGCAGAGAGACGGATTGGAAGTGGAGCAGCCGGGACTTGAACTGACGCCCACATGAGATGTCTGCATTTCAGGCAGTCTTGCCCGCTGTGCCACAGCGCCGGCCCCTTGTCACATCCTCTTTACAACCTTCCCTGGCTCCCCTGAGCTGGCAGAGTCCCTTTCCCCCAGGATCCCACAGTTTCATGAACATAATTCTGTCAAGAAACCAACAGAGGGCCCACTACGTGCCTGGCCTGCTAAGGTCATTCTAGAAACAAACAAAAAGCTCATACAAAGTTTCGTTCAGCTCATTTATTTGAGAGACAGATGACGATGGAGAAAGCTCCTTCCCACTGGTACATTCCTCAAGTGCCTGTGACTGCAGGGGCTGGGCTGGGCTGGGCTGGGCTGGACTGTACACCAGGAACTTCATCCGGGTCTCCCAGGCAGGTAGCAGGGACTCAATGACTTGAGTGGTGACTTCTGCATTTGCAGGAAGCTGGAGTCAGGAGACAAACCCCGGGCACTCTGATATGAGACACTGTTAGGCCAGAGAGGGAGGGGAGAATCTTCTGTCCACTGACTCCCCAGACAGCTGTTATGACAGCCAGGGCTAGGCCAAGGTGAAGCCAGGAGCCTGGAACTCCATCCAGGTCACCCCAATTATGTAGGTCCCAGGCACACTAGCAAGAAACTGGGTGAGAATTGCAGCCAGGACCCCAACCTACACTCGGATACGCTGCACCATCAACGTGGGCCCCTGCACTACCTTTTAGCTATGCCTCAGTACAGTCCCACCTCAGGGCCTTTGCACTTGCAGTGCTGGCCGTAAGCATCACCTGTGTCCTGACACGTCTCTGAGATCTCTGCTCTCACCGGGCTGCAGCCTCCTCTCGCGCCTGCCTCCCATCTCCCGCACACACACTCCCCCGGGGTAGCTTCCTGAGAGCAGGAAGCTTGTCTTTGGCTTCCACCGTCTCCAGCCACCTGCCAAGTGCTCAATACCCACTCAACTGTCCGCGTTTTTCAAAAGAGAAAACTGAAGAACATTCGGGCAAAGCTTAGCAAGGCAGCTCAAGGTCCCTCAAAGCACCGCTGAGCCCGGCACCCCGCACAACTCCCAAGCCAGCCGCAGTATTGCCTCCCCGCTCTGAGCACGCCGCAGCTTCCCCGCTCCCCCACCCGCCACCGCCTCCGCGCGCCCCTCGGTCCCTAGCGGCGCGTCGGAGCCGCCCCTGGAGGCTCCCGGGCTCCGCGGAGATGTCACCCTCCCCGCCCCCTGTCAGTCAGGCCGAGGGGGCGGCGCAGCCGCCAGGGGGGGCGCTGAGCTCAGAGCTGCCGCAGCGCGCGAGCCGGAGCCCGAGAACAGCCGAGCGCAGCGCGCGAGCGAGCAGGGCGCCAGCGGCGAGCGGTGGCCGGCGACGCACCGAGGTCCGCGCATTGCTGCGCCCCAGCTCAGGGCCCCGCGACCCGAGCGCCTGGACACGGCCTGATTGCCCAACGACTCTGAGCCCGCCCGGCCCGGCTTCACCGAGCCCCCGCGTCCGCCAGCCGCAGCCGCCGCTCCGCCGCCAGCCCCGGCCCCGCATCCAGGTGAGGCGGCCGCGCGCCCGCCGGGCGCTGAGGATGGAGAAGGGGATGGGGAGGCCGGGGGGGACCGCGACGGGATGAGGAAGAGGGCGGGAAGGAGTTAGGCAGCCAACTGAGGACTGCGCGTCAGGGTGAACCCCTGGGATGTGTGACTGCCCCCCGGGGTTTGCACCTGCTTGTGCGGCCGTGTGGACGTGCGTCCGTGCCCGTGTGTGGGGGGCGTCCGTGCGCGTGTGGACGCCTGAGTGGCCTCTCTGTGCACGTGAGCGTGTCCGTGGTGTGTTTGTGTGCATGGCTGTGGGACGGGCGCGTGTGCACAGTCTTCGCGCCGAGCCGGGCACTCCGGTTCCGCGGGGCTGCAGGTTGCAGGGCTCCGGATAACCGAGGCGGGGGCCCCTCCCGCGTCCCTGGGTTTCAAGGACGCCAGGATTCGTCGCGGCCCTGAGGCCTCGTACTGGGGAGAGGGGTGGCGTGGGAGGGGACTGCTGGCCTCGGGGAGGGAGAGGAGCGGGCGCCCGGTCCCTCGGGAGAGGCTGGGGTGAGCGCCCCGGTGCCCGAGTGTTCGCCCTCCTCAGGCTCCAGGATGGACGTGTTCATGAAGGGCCTGTCCATGGCCAAGGAGGGCGTTGTGGCTGCTGCTGAGAAAACCAAGCAGGGGGTCACCGAGGCGGCGGAGAAGACCAAGGAGGGCGTCCTCTACGTCGGTGGGCCGGGGGCAGGGCTCCGGGAGCGCGTTCCGAGGGTGTGGGCTGGGGGTCCTCACAGGGAGTGGGATATGAGTCAGCAGATAGGGCTTGGTCAGCAGGGGTCACTGGGGACATGGCAGGCAGACAGGCGGGCAGGGACGGAGTGGGTATTGCTGAGGGTGGGGTCGGAGCCCATGGCCTCCTTTCCAGCCTGGAGCCCTGTCTCTGAGGGAAGTAGAGTGATAGGTCGCAGTGCCCACTGCCTCAAGTCATGCTGTCAGCCCATTCCACAGATGGGGAAACTGGGCTCTCACTACCTTGCCCAAGGTCACACAGCTGGGTGAAACCTGAAGGTGGAGGTTTCCACCGGATTGTAGAGACTCGGAAGTCCCGCCCCTACCTCCCTGGCCCATCCTCTTGAATTCCTGGGGCTCCCTCCTGCCCTCCTCCCCAGCTCCCTCCAGGACTGAGTTTCTCTCCGGGCGCCCCTGCTTCCCAGTGCCTGTGGTTCTGCTGTGGCCAGCTCTCCCCACATCCACCCTCCTCGCAGCTGCCAGCTGGTGCCAGGATTTAGGAGGCTGGGTTGGTTAAAATCTCCCACCCTGAGCGAGAAAGGAGACTGAGACTGCAGGGTCATTTACATAAAGGGAGGGAAGGCTGGAGACCCATTCAGTGACTCAGGGCTCGCCCAGGTGCAGCAAGCATAATTATCTCCTGTGCGGGCTCCAGTAGGGCTGGACACCTTGCCCAAGGTCGTGGCAGATTTGGGTTGTCCCTACTATGTGCCAGGCATTGTGTGAATGCTGGGGCTGAATCAGTTGGCCAGGGACAAAGGCACCTGCCCTCCAGAGAAGGTGGCAGAGAGCACTTCAATAGCGAGAACTGACAAGGGGTGGCAGGCAGGGGTGGGGACCACTCTGGGGCAAGGTTGAAAAAGGGGCTGCCTGAGGAGCTGGCTTTGGAGCTGAACCCTGAACAACAAGGTAGCAGGTGGGAGAAGGCAGAAAAGGCAGGTGCAAAGGCCCCGCGGTGGGCTGGACAGCCACCGGAGAGCAGGAGGTAGCCGTAGACAATTGGATGACGCAAATGGGCAACAGCCAATTCACTAGGAGGCTCTTCTAGGACATTGATGTCAGTGAGGGGCTGCTGTGATCAGATTTCATTCAGGCTTCCAGGGACAGAACCCACTAGGGGCCGCACAGCCGCTGGCTGAGGGTGGCTGGGGTGAGGGCAGTAGCACCAGCAGAATGCCTGAGCCTACGTCTGCCTGACCCCAGCTCTGGCCTCCTGCCCCTTTACTCCTGCCACCCTGACCCTGCCACTCTGCTAAATGTCTCAGCCTCTCCAGGTCTTCCTGCCACTCCCCTTAGATTGGCACCTCCTGCTTCTCCCCCTGCCCAGGAGCCCTGGTGTCTTCTCCCAGTCCCTACGTATTAAAGCCTCAGCTCCCTGTAGTCTGGTACTCGATGCCTTCCCTGGTCCTGCCCTGGTCTATGCTCCCAGCTGCCTTTCTCACAGACCCATGGCTCCTAGCACATGGCTCTGAAAACACAAGTCGCTGTGCCTGCCTGCCTGCCTGGCTCCCTGAGCCTGGAACACCCTCCTGAGTCTCCTGTCCAAACAACCACCTGCTCCTTCTCAAGGGAGAGATGTCCCCGCCGCACTCACAAACCCCGGGAGGCTGGGGGTGCTCTCCCTGGGACCTGAGGTCTAGGGTGTGACTCTGCCCTTCTCCTGCCCCCTTCAGACCGTGAGCCATGAGCGCAGGGCCTGACACACAGCAAGCGCCAGTAGCTGTTTGCAGGAGGAAAGAATGGGGTGGGAGGTGTTGCCGTCGCCTCTCTCTGCCTCTACGCTATTGCTGGCATGGGCTTCAGCCTGTGCAGGTGCCAGTGTCCAGACCTACGGACTGTAGTAGGGAGAGCAGGCTCCCCACTCCTCCGAGGGCTCCACCCCTCGCCCCACATCAGGTGCTCTTGCCTTTCCCACATTTGATGTCACCAGGTTGCTGCCAGCTGAGGCTGGGATGCCAGTCCCATCTGCACGCCCCCCTAGACCCACCCTGTACCTAAGACACCCCACTTTGGCCAGAGGAAGGGTTTGCCCCTTATGGGGAAGAGACTTTGGAGATAGTGGAGTGAGAGGAGGGGGCACATGGGCAGCCTTGCACTGTGTGATGCGTAGCTTGGTGGCCCCTCAGCTCCATCCCTTGCCTGCCTCCTCCCTGACCCCCCCCCCATCCTGGGCTGCACACTCACAGAATGAGCGGGAGCTGGAACTTGGAGGTCCCTTGAGTGCCCGTGCAGCCACTCACTAACTGGGGCCCTCCCCAAGCTTCCGAGGGCCACGTGTGACACAGGAACAATAACAGCAGATCCCAAGGGCAGAACCCAGATCCCAGGGCTGGGGGCAGGCCAGGAGTTCTGCACAGTGCTGGCCCTCAGTGGAAGGCCTGAGGCAGGACACGTGGGCACTGGCATGCTGAGAAGAAAGGGGGTCAGCAGGGTGGCTGGGACGGCAGCCGCCCGATGCCCACTCTGTAGCACTGTGCCCCTCCGTTCAGCACTCTTACCTGTGTTCCTTTTTTCTCCCTGCAGGAAGCAAGACCCGAGAAGGGGTGGTACAAGGTGTGGCCTCAGGTACCAGCCCCGCCCCAGCCCCACCCCCTCCCCCACCCTGGGCCCTGTGGTCTGCTGAGATCCAGAGGGCAGGGCTGGGAAAGGGAGGGTGAGGTCCCAAGACTTCTTGGGTGCTCCCTGGGGGGGAGGGCAGACCCTAGGACACCAGACAGCAGGGGCAGGGGCATCTATGCCTCCTCTACCCTGGCCCCCAAACCCCTCCCCCAACCCCCTCCCTGCTCTAGTGGCTGAGAAAACCAAGGAGCAGGCGTCACATCTGGGAGGAGCTGTGTTCTCTGGGGCTGGGAACATCGCAGCTGCCACAGGGCTGGTGAAGAGGGAAGAGTTTCCTACTGATCTGAAGGTAAGAGATCCTCAGGATACACACACACACACACACACACACACCCCAGGCCACCAAGCAAGCCGGCCCCTGCTGCCCCCACTCTCCCAGTGCCTGCCAGCCTGCAGCACCAACAACCTGGCCTCCTGCTCCAAACTGCTGCATGGGAGACTTTGCCCATAGTGAGGTAGATGCGTGCATGTGCAGTCTCCCAGTGACCGGGACCCCATCTGGCTGTCTCTGGGCATCCTGCTGGCCAGCGGGGCCCGTACCACATCTGGCGACATCTGCATGTGCCGCCTGGTGTCCACTCATTTCTTTCTGCTTGACAAGTGTCCACGCCAGAGAACAGTTCTAGCGGTACGGCAGTGGGCGGGTCCCACCTGCATGCAGCTGACAGGGTACTAGGCGAACACAGTGAAAAGGAAGCGAATGTACAAGATGGTTTCAGACAGGGAAGAAACGACAACAAGCGGACGCGACAGTCCAGCAGTGAGCAGGCTACTGTAGCTAGAAGGGCTTCTCTGGGGAGGTGATATTTGAGCTGAAGCCTGAGGGATGAGAGAGAAGCAGCCGTGAGCAAATGTGTGGGAAGTGCATTTCAGGTGGTGGGAATAGCAAGTACGAAGGCTCTGAGGCAGGTGTGAACCATGGTGAGGTGGGGGTGATCTCTGTGTCATGCGGTAGTGCGGGCGTGTCTCCCCAAGCGGTGGTGGTGGCTGCTCTGTGCACACAGAGGTCCCTCTCAGGACACCCTGCGGGGTAAGAGCTGTGAGCTCTTAGAGCCCCACAGAGCTGGGTGTGGATCCCAGCTCCACCACTTCCTGGCTGTGTACCCTGGGCAGGGGTTGGGGTGGGGGTGGGGCACCCCACCCTGGCTCTGAGCCTCATGATGGAAGAGGAATGCAGTGGGGCTCTTGTGCAGATTGGAGATAAAGTAATCAGAAGCCCTCCAACCCAGCGCGTACATCAGAATCACCAAGGGAAAAGACACACACACACACACACATGCACACACACAAACGCATACACACAGGCACTCACACGCACCAGGCTCCTCTCCTCCGGCTTCTGAGTCAGTGGGTCTCAGGCGAAGCCCGAGAATCTGCACTTCCAACAAGAAGTCCCCTGGGGATGCTCCCCGTGCAGTTCCGGGGAGCACGCCGCCGTGAGGATCATGATAGAGCGCAGCAAGAGTGTGGCGGTGGGATTGCGCCAGCAGCTCACATCTGTCCCCAGGGGGTCCCGTGAGTGCAGGTGTGTGGGGAAGTGTGCCGTGACCTGCCCACGTGCGTACAGCCCTTCCGCAGTGGGTGCTCAGTGCCTGCCCGTGGACACGAGCAGACTCTGCCTCCATGCAGGGAGGGGCGATTTTGTCAACGTTTGGTTTGGGTGATCAGCACCACGCATTCAGCACACGCATGTAGGTAGGGCTGAGGGAGCCTCCACTCCCCCCCTCCACTCCAGACATCTTGCACAGTTGGTTCCTTCCGCTGTGGGATGCCTGGGTCTTCTTTCCTTGAAGGTGCGCCACGTCCCCAGGAGGAAGGCACCATACCTAGCCCATTTCGCAGCTGAAGGAACTGAGGCTCGCAGAGCTAAAATGATTTGCCTGAGATCCTGGTGCTGACACAGGGCCAGGTCCTGTGCTGACAGCTGGGGTGCCCAGGCACACAGCAAGCCTCAGGTATCCGCCTGCAGGCTCTCTGAGCTCCTGCCTCCTTGCCCATGCCCCCAAGGCTGCTCTCTCAAGGGAGTTCAAACAACAGAGGGAAGGCAGGCAAGTCCACGGTCATCATTTCTGAGTCTCTGCTCCCTTCCCAAACACGATGGTGGCATCTGCACCGCAGGCCTAGCGAGCAGACAGCTCTCCCCATATTTCCCACCCGGGGCTGCTGAGATCAGAGATGCGAGGACTAGCCAGTGGCCAGGCTGGGGTGGGTCAAGGGGACTTTTACTGAAGGGCAGCCTGCCTACGCCGAAAACCAGCAGCTCCACTTGTTTGCACCAAGGGAGCCCCCATGGAACCAGGAGCCAGCCCAACACATAGCACATCCCCCCTCCCCTGCCAGAGGCCACCTCGTGGCCCCTCCCAGTCCTTACTGTCAGCATGGCCAGGACATGGGTGAGACAAGTGTCCCAGGTGCTCACTCGGGGCAGAGTGGGGGTGGGGCCTCATGTGCATGGCTCAAAGAGGGACTGCCTTCCTAACACCTGGGCCTGGGTGCCTCACAGACGGCCCCCTCACTCCCCCTCTGTCCTGGCCCTGCCTATCCCCACCCCCACCTCTACGGGAACTGCTTGCTAACTTCCAGCCGCACAAATCAGGTGGGTGTTTTTTTAACTTCATGTGAAGGGCTTCAAAAAGTGCATGTTCTTCTGTACCTGCTTCTTTCATTCACCATGTACATTTGCGAGGTTCCGCCCTGCCCACGTCCTCAGTGTCACCTTCATTCTTACTGTGTAGGCTCCCACTGCACGCCCATCCTACTGCCACTGGACAGCGAGGTTGTTGTTGATCAATGTGCTTATGCTAGGATTAAAAAAAAAAAAGATTTATTTATTAACTTACGGGGGTGGGGGGAGAAAGTCTCCAAATGCTTGCTTTACTCACCAGTCAGCCACAATTGCCAGGGCTCGTCCAGCCCAAAGCCAGACTGGAGTTCCCATCTGGGTGCAGGGTCGTCTTCCACTACTTTCCCAGGCACGTTAGCAGGGAGCTGGATCGGAAGTGGAGCTGCAGGGATGTGAACTGTTGCTCTGATGTGGAATTCTGATATGGGATTCCAGCATCACAGGCAGTGGCTTAACCCACTGTGCCACAACACCAGCCCCATCAAGCTGGGGTTTTTAGCACCATGATTCTTCCCTAGATTCTGGGTGACTTGGAGCAAAATAATATTTCCCTATCCTGGGCTTGATGTACCCTCCTCTACAGTTAGGGGGAAGGAGCCAGGTCAGGAGCTGTAAACCTGAATGTCCACAGGGCCCACCTGGACAGGTACTCTGAAGGAACCATTATTGGGGTAGGTCTGGGGGCAGCTGGAGTACCAACTTCTCAGTGCCAATCCCCCAAGGTCCCAAGCATGTGCCTGGCCACATGTAGCCATGCACGACCCTGGAGTTATTTTGTCTGTGTGTAGCTAACTCAGTCCTGTGTTTGTGCACATACATGCACTCACCTACAGGTGGCCAGCCACATCTCTCTCTCTCTCTCTCTCTCTCTCTCTCACACACACACACACACACACACACACACACCGGTCCCTGTCTGGGCAGCAGACGCAGGGGGGAGGGGGAGTCTTAGCTCACACATCCAAGCAACACTATGAGCTGTTGCTCCCAGCTTATCTTAAAATAGCAACAGCGAAGAAACCAGGCCACACAGGGCCCTGGGGGAGGGATGGGCGGAAGCAGCAGAGGAATGGCTCAGAGCCCCTGCCCAGCCCTGTCCCTGAACCTCCGTCTCCCACCAGCCCTGGAGGGGGCATCCGGGGTTCTCCCTTGGGGTCCTGAGGCTGAGCACAGCGCCTGCCTCCCAGGAGTCAGGGGAAAAGGGCGACTGAGCAAGCTGTCCCCACATGCAGTCCAAATGGCGGAGGCGCAGGAAGCGGCCAGATGCTGGGGGGAGGGGCAGAGAGAGCCCGTTGCCCCCTCCACTCCCAGCGGATTTGGCGGGTTTCCACCCTTCACACCTCCACCACATGGCCAAGGCACTCCAAATAAACAACTTGATTAAACATGCTCCTGGCACCGCCAACCCACCCCAGCCTGCTCTCCACTTCCAAGCAGCCAAAAGCTTCCCCATGTGGGAATGGAGGCAACATCCCGGCTGCCCTCCCCAGCATTGACCCTCTCTTCCCCACAGCCAGAGGAAGTGGCCCAGGAAGCCGCTGAGGAGCCGCTGATTGAGCCCCTGATGGAGCCGGAAGGGGAAAGTTATGAGGAGCCACCGCAGGTGAGGGCGGCAGGGCTGGGTGGGACTTCCGGCTGCCTCCGCAGGTGGGATGGGAGGACCCTGGTCCAACCCAGGCCCCAGGAGGTGGGAGCAGGGAGGGGAGAGCAGATGGATAAGAGGACAGCGCCCCAGACTCCCCTGCCTGGGACTCTCTTGGCTGTCGGGGACTCCAGGCTCCTCTTCTGCCCGGGAGAGGGACAGGGACCTGGGGCCGCTGGTGGCCGCTTGGTCTCCAACCTCTCCTCCCTGTTGCTCTTGTCTACGCCACCCCTCCCTCTGATGCAGGAGGACTATCAGGAGTATGAGCCAGAGGCGTAAGGGCCCAGGACGGCCGCCCACCAGCAGCACAATGCCGCCCTTGCCCCCGCCCCGCCCCCAGAGCCAGGGCTGACCCTCTGCCCCTTTCCCCGCAAACACGAGATCTTCCTTCCGCTCCGAGGCAGCCCCCTCGGAGCCCGTGTTAGTGTTTGTCCATCTGTCTGTCCTACCCGCCCGCGTCCAACCCTGGGGCACGAACGTGGCCGGGGCTGGGAGCCTCGCGCCCCCTCTCCCCCCCACCCCCGTCCCCAGCGTAGCCCCTCCCGTCCAGCGTCTGCGGATGTAGCATGTTCTCTGTGTTTTTAAACCAAGATCGGAAAGCGACGGCTCCTCCCCGCCCCCAGGGGAACCCGGGCAGCCCCCAGAGCACCCCACTCTCCTCCCAAGAACTTTTTTTTTTAAACCTAAAACCAGGAGCCAGGCTGTGCCGGCCCGGCCCGGCCCGAGCGCGGGCGTCGAGTGTTGTGATCGTGGCAGGAGCGCCCCTACCCCTGTGTGAGCGTGTCCCGGGCGGGCGGGCCCGGCCGCCCCCCCGCGTGTCCATGAATAAAGCCAATCTGTCCGTAGCCAGCGCCGAATGGGCAGGGCTGGGCTGGGTGCGGGGTGACAGCGTCAGATGGGCTCCCGCTCTGCTCGTTGGGGGTCAGGCACGCTAGGCCCATACACAAAACTGACCATCTCGGGCCTCAGCTGCCCCCTCTCCTACCCCATTCCCGGGCATGACCCGAGGCGCAGGGGTTCTCCAGGGGCTGGGACACGCATTCGCTAGGAGGCGGGAGGGTAGCTTCGGGCGCCACCTGCTGGGCCGTAAAGCGGTGACCGGGGAGCCGGGGCCGAGGGCCACCCGTCCAGCCGCGCAGGCGCGCCGAGGCCCCAGCTTGCACGGACCTGCGTGCACGTTCGCCCGCCCTTGCGCACCAAACCCAGGTTAAGCGTGCAGAGCCGCACGCACTTAACGGCTGCATCAAGCCCGCGGCGCCGGTGCCGAACGGCACTGTCCCACTCCGGAACGGGTACACGCACACCTGCCCAGCGCGAAAAGACCCACCGAAGGGGAGGGGAGATAGGCAGATGCCCTGGGGGAAGAGGGCAAAACTCCTACATCCGGAAGGGCTCCCGCTGGAGACCTAGGCTGATGATGGGCGAGGGTCGGAAAAATCTGAGAAACTGGCCAGGCGCTTGGGAGCGGATCAGGATAGGCACCAGGGGGCCCCCTACACCGCTTCCGAGCGAGGAAGACCGGGACCACTGCACTGCGGGTTCTGCTCCGAGGCCCCGCCCCTGCCATGCGAAAGCGCTGCCTTTATTGGCACAGAAGCTGCCTGCACCGAGACCCCGCCCTCACACTGCGGAGGCCCCGCCTCCCTGCTCGGCCCCCCCCCCCGCCCCTCTTCTGCGGCAGCGGCCCCGCCCCGCCCTGCAGTGGAAGCCCGGCCTGGCCTTGCCGCAGAGACCTCCAGCTCGCCCGCGCAAGACCCCGGACGCCTCCGTGCCTGCGGGAGCGTCCGTCCCTGCAGCCCCGAAGCGGGAGAAGCTTGCTCCGTTTAATAAGTCTCCACGTATTAGCGCTTCTTGCCCTGAGTCCTTGGGGGCTAGAGGCTATGCAAAGCCTGGGCAAGGCTTGAGCGCTGCCCGCTGGGTTTCCGGAAGCGGGAGGCAGCCGTGGGCGGGACGTGCTGAGGACAGACCCGCGCGGGCTTGGAGCCTCCGCCGCTGCCCTCCCTTTTGGCTGACCTGAGACGCGGCCCTGTGCCCGCGAGGATTGGAGACTCCGCCCTCGGGCTGAGTTTGGCACAAGGTTTTACAGTTTTAAGACGTGAATACCTTTGGGTTGGGCACACCTGTTCCAGTGGCCTCTGTCCCTCACTATTGTATTGCGCCCGGTGCTGTGGGCACTACCCTCCTTGAGACCTGCTCGCCTTTAAAGAATTGGAGTCAGCCCCTGAGCCCATTTGTAGACACCCAAACCAGGTTCACCATCTGGCCCGTGGGGAAATGCGCTTCTCCCTCGCGATGCCAAGCCTCTCACCTGACCCTACTGAGAAGGTTCTGCCCACAAACCAGTGCTCCGCTCTGCCCCGGGGTCACTCTAAACCCGCCCCAGGCACAGGTCCAGGGGCCCCCGCAGAAGACACAGCTCAGGGTCCCAACTGCAGTGCAAACAGCCCGCACGTGAGCCCAGGCACGTGTGGGCTTCACACAGGGTAGAGCCATGTGCTGAGTGCCCAGTACGTATGGCTCTTCTCTGCATTCATTTCACTCCAAACCATCCTCAAGACTTCCTGGCCAGGAGCTCTACTGAGAGGCCAGAGAGACACAGTTACCTACCTGAGGTCATATTGATCCCCCAAGCCCGACCCCCCCCCCAAAAGCTCAACTCCTTTGAAATTTCCAAAAGAGAATGGCTGTGGCTGTGAGTGGAGGGGACAAACAGCAGATGACAACAATAAGAAAATGTGGAGGCAGCAGCGGGGTTTACAGACACCTGGGCCATTTGAGGTGGACTGGGAGGAGGCTGTGTGCGTGGGTGGTGGTGAGCGGTGTGCATGTCTCCATGTGCGGTCCGGGCATGGGGATGTACCATGTCTGGATCTGTGTTCACGTGTGTACACAGGTGTGTGCGTGTGGTGTGCCTTCACGGAGTGATCTCACATTGCACACCGTGCACCTGCTCCGCTCTGAGGAGTGAGCGGCTTCAGGAACAGCCCTGCAGGCTGCTGCCCGGACAGAGCGCACCTCCGGGCAATCCCAAAGTCATCCCCAGATCCGGGGAACACAAGTTCAGCTGGAGTTTTACAAAAAACATAAAGAAAGCGGAGGTGCCAGACCAGCACAGGAAGGGGCTGGTGCACACGGTTGAAGAAAGGTGGCCAGCTCAGGTGCTGGAGGAGGCGAGGCTGGAGCTGAAACCTGACTCAGAAGAGGGTGGGGTGGACAGGTGTTGCAGGTAGAGGAGGAACCCACTGCTCTGGTGTTCTCAGGAGCGAGTGGTCAGCAAGGCGAGCCTGGCCAGCCCTCCGCGCAGCCTGCCCCACCTCTCCCACCTGGGCAGCTGCTGTGCCCTCTGCCTGTTGAGAGCCTGCCCACTTCTCAGCTTCTCCTGCTTGAACAGAAGCGAGTCTGTGTCATCCCAACCACCTGCCTAGCTGTGCACAAAGACCCCCCACACATGCACCAGAATGCTGAGGACCCTGGCTGAGCAGCTCACCTGGAAACTGCCCTCTTCCCTGGGACAGGGCTGGGGACTGGCCCCGAAGCCCCCATCATTTGTCCGGCTCCCTGCCCCCACCTCCCATACTGCGGCTCCACAGCCTTCCCTGGAACTTTATTTTTGTTTTTTCCCTTCCCTATTTATAGCTCTCTCCCCTCCGAGCCATCCCTGCATCCATCCCGTTGCCTAGAAACCAGCTCTGGGCTGAGGGAGGGGGAAGGCCAGGCCCGAGCCCAGGCAGGGGGAGAGGAAGAGCTGTCACCCATTCCCCTCGCAGCACCACCCCCAGGCTCCCAGAAGCCCACCCCGCGCCCTCTGCCAGCACCACCGAATGGAAGCTCTTTGAAAGATAAAACAAAATGTGAAAAACAGCAGCCCCTGGGAAGTCCTTCACAAATTCTACAGACCGGGGATGACCCTGGTCTCTCTCAAGCCCATCCTGCTGGGGGCCTGCACGCATTACTTTTCCTAGGGGGAAATTGAGGGTTCAGGAAGCCCAGGTCCCACAACTGAAGCTTTCTCAGCAGGATCCACACACTGAATCTGTTGGCCTTAAGATATTAGCCTGAAACACGGAAAAGCTTTAAAAGCTTGCAGATCGCCGTAATCCATTCATTGCAGGAGGGGAAAAGAAAAAATGTTGCCACAGTCTCGCTAGACACCAAATCACTGGTCATACCTCTGTCCTGCCCCCTGCCGTGTATCCCCCACTCTGGGCCAGCACCTGGCTCAGTTACAGCTGGACTCCTGGTCTGACAGCTCGTCTACCCCAGATCCAATCAGGGAGCCTGAGCTACTTCCTAGCTGTCCTTCTTAGCAGCTGTGTGAGCTAGGGACGTTCACATAGCCTCTCTGAGCCTCGGTTTCCTCAGCTCCAAGGCGAGGGTGCTTCCTTCCTCCCCGGAGGACTGGAGATGAGTGAAAGCGCTGCTGTGAGGAAGCACTCTGTGGAGTGTAGCGTGCTATAAAACAGGAGCAGTTAATGCGAATCATTCATATTCTTATTGTCATTGTTAGAGCCAAGAGAGGGGCAGAGGAGCCCAAACAGACCCTGAAAGGGAGGGAGCCCAGTGTCTGGACAGAAGGACCAGACGTGAGGGGGCTGCCTGGGAGCACCTGAGGAGCATCATGCCCCCTTGTGCCTCATTCCTCCTTTTCAAGTGCCCCCTTCCCTACCCCTGCCCCAAGGTCCACTTCTGCCTTCTGGGCAGGATGGGGAGGGGGCTGCCAAGGAGCAGCTGGGCTGTGATATGGCCCCAGGGTGGAGCAGGTGCAGAGGTGAGTGGGGAGGCGGGGCTGTGTGGATAGAGGCTGTGCTCCTGTATGTCCAGACCAGGGTATCTTGTAAACAGCAGGGCAGCACAGTAAGGGCCAGAGTGCTGCATGCTGGGAAGGTGGAGTGCAAAGATGACCCCATGGGCATCCGTAATCTGGGCTGAGGGGACAGCAGGGTGTGTGGGTGTGGGTGTGGGCATGAGTGGCACTGGTTGCAAGGGGGAGTTTGACTGCCAACTCTACCGCTTTCCAGCTGTGTGACCCTGGAAGTTACTGAACCTCTCTGAACTTCAGCGCCCCCTCACTTATGAAATGAGATTAACAACAGTAGCATCTCAGTGTGACGGTGAGCTTGGAAGCACTTGGAAAGTGAGGAATGGTACACACCATGCTGTCCTTGGCAGGGAGCCCTGGCTTTCACCCCACACTCGTGACAATGGATGCACGTATGAGAGTCTGGAGGCAAGACTCGGGGCACAGGGCCTGGGCCAGAGCTTCCTGGGGGATCCTATGTTGTGTGTGCAGTCCTGAAGCAAGCACAAGAACTTTACAGAGTTGGGTTCTTTTGGCCGGCACCACTGCTCACTTGGCTAATCCTATGCCTGCGGCACTGGCACCCCAGGTTCTAGTCCTGGTTGGGGCGCCAGATTCTGTCCCAGTTGCCCCTATTCCAGTCCAGCTCTCTGCTGTGGCCTGGAAAGCAGTAGAAAATGGCCCAAGTGCTTGGGCCCCTGCATCTGCGGGGAGACCCAGGAAGGAAAGCACCTGGCTCCTGGCTTCGGATCGGCACAGCGCACCGGGCAGTAGCGGCCATTTTGGGGTGAACCAAACAGAAAGGAAAGACCTTTCTCTCTGTCTCTCTCTCTCTCACTGTCTATTTGCTGATCTGGGGTAACTAACGAAAGAAAGAAAGAGAGAGAGAGAGAGAGAGAAAGAAAGAAAGAAAGAGAGAAAGAAAGAAAGTTGGGCTCTTTTGGCACTGCCTGCTGTGTGATACCTCCAACTACACACACACACACACACACACACACACGCACACAGCATATGCTTGTGTGCACAGAGGCTGTGATTTGCAGAAAT